TATCATTATTATTTTCATTTAAAATAAAATGGAAATATAATTTCGCAATAATTGCTATGATTCAAATGGCTACTATTTTAACCACAAGTTCTATTATTATCTCGATYAGGTTACGTGATTTTTTCTAAAAATTGTATCAACGCATTGTAGTACACTGCAGCACAACATACCATTATCCTTAGCATGAAAAACGACAATCCCAGTCACCCCTCCCCAGAGTGATTATAATATTATAGATAACGATACAGTGGAAATCGTATTTTCGTACGTTTTCAACATAATTATTTMCAAAAAATAAAAATAAATAAATATGCAATCATATTTTAGTCGTGTCGTTTTGTGCACAGGCCGAACCTGCTTTGATGTACGACGCGGTAAACGTGTTCGCTAACAGCATCGGATCGCTGGACGGGTCGTCCAATTCAATGCAATCGTCGAACGTTTCGTGCAAGACGTCGGACCGTTGGGCGAACGGAACGTTTCTGTACGATCGACTCAACGCGGTTAGTATTCGATTATGGTATTATATATCTATTATAATTACAGTAAACTGCTTGACAACGTGACGGATTTTTGATATTTTTTTGTTTTTCTCGTTTCGCCATCACGACACAGGTGAGCATCGAAGGCCTGACCGGCAAAGTTCACTTTGACGAAGGGAGGAGATCAGATATCAAGCTGGACTTGCTGAAACTACATCAGGAGAAAGTGAAAAAAGTTGGTTTTTGGACACCGTCGACCGGCATCAACATCACGAAACATTCCGTATTTTACGGACACCAGAGCTCMAACGTGACACTGATCGTGGTCACCAGAGTCGTAAGTTTACGTCATTAAAACCGTAACCATGATATTAATATTTTGCATGATATGCATTATAATTTATTATAATATTAAACGCATAAACGAAGAGAATTAAACGCGTCACACGTCGCCATCGGGATCGTTTCACGTGGTAATAAAATAATACTTAATGAAAAACGGACGGACTAGCGTTACTATTATAACATAGATATACAGTATAATTTATATTTTCTTGGAATCTACATAATAATATAGTGATCTGTTCGAAAACAACAATAAACCCATCATTCGWWAAAAGGTCCGCCCGAATTATACTCTCGAGAAATACAAAATTTATAAAAGGTGAAAAAAATATATAAATTACTTAAACTTCTATAGTAGTTATTTTTTTATTTTTTTTGCTCGACCGATATGAATATATTATTGAACCAATATAAAGTCAGATACATATTATATACCTATACAATAACGCACGATATGAAACACGTTTTTGTTCTTTGAAAATGACGATGATATTACACGTATACCATACAAGATCGGAKAGCAAAATATACAAAAAACTATATATTATACATAGTTATGTACATAGGAATAGCTTTGTGGTTGTTAAATTTCATATGAAAAAGAAATACATAAAAGTTTATAATATTATATGAAATAATATTATAAACGCGTCATGTCAATTTTCTATTTATCCGCACTACAGAAGGATTTRAACATATTTTTTTAACAAAAGAAAAAAATATATTTCATTTGGAGACTAAAAGCTCTATTCGTATTCACCGAAAAAGTTATTGATGTTACAATATTTTATTTTCTCTTTTTAAATGCTTTATTGCAATWCTTTCATTTCGTGTTATCAAAAATTACAAGAATAAAYTATACTCCTACTACATACCTGCGTAATGTAATTATATTTTTCGGATAACCAATATTCTTAAAAACCATCGTTTGCATATTTTGAAATACGTAACTATGAGTGCACTGATCCCCAACCAACTTCCTTTACGAACCTGTGATGGATGAATCGTGGGAGGARAAGCAGACACGGAGGATGGYGACTATAAGCATGTTAAAAATTATTTTCAGACAGTTAAGAAAATTAACAATAAAAAACATTTCACGTTACCTATACCTATAACAAATATTTATAGAAGACACATCCTGTAGAAGTATACTATACGTATAATAGGATAACGTATTAGTCGTATATTATATATTATATTGTTATAGAACGGAAAATATAATCTTGTGTAATCCTACTACAAACAATTTAGATATATTATATTCAGAGCACGCATTCGACGTGCCTTTTTTCGTGTTGGCATTTATAGCATTGGGAAAATTATTCGGGTATCTCATAAGACGTAAAATATGAGAATTTATGCAATTCAAAAATAAAATGATGATCGCACGGCATCATGCATAGGCTATTTAATCATACCTCTGACGTGGTTCTATTTTTACGGTACCTCTCGTATGAAAGGTATATAATATTATATAGATATTCTTTTTCACATTTCAGTGCCTGAAATAATGTTGTATTTTACACAGCGTATTATTGATGATATTATCAGATGTGCCTCTGAACTGGGTCCAATCGTTGGAAATACATCTTATCAGTTTAATTTATTTTTTAACGTATTTCAACTTTCATTAATTGTGAGATGACAACAGGTATTTTATTTTAAATAATGACGTAAAATAATTTGTGAAAAAAAATATAAAGTTTAAAATTAAAATTAAATATTTATATTATAAAAACCAAGTTCAACGAAGGTAGAATATTTCCCTCAATTAATAAAAACAAAAAATCAAATTTGGTTCAATTAACAAAACAAAATCGTTATTCCCGTCAAGTGTATTTTTGAGGACAAAATCATATTAGCACTGGGTCCCATTATAATAATATATTATAATATAAATAAAACACCAGAAATGCAAGCAAATAAACACAGTTGTTTTCAATACCTCACGGGAGAGTAGCACTTTTAGTTCATACTCCGCCAATTTTTACCGGTGTTTGTGTCCAAACGACTAATTAGTAACAGTTACCATTTAATACACTCATATACCAACCAGTCTTTGAGTATTACCTAACTTTGACATATTAAGATTTAAATTTAAAAAATTAAATTATATTATACACCCGAACTCGAGTCATATGATTTATATTCCAAGGGAGGTTTGAATTTGTAATGGGTAGGTACTAAATATTTTAATATTTTAGCGGAATGGTATTCAACTTGATCCAGGCATTTTCTATAAGTGAAGGCACAAATAAATAACACATTCGGTTAAGTATGTTATGCAAAGCCACATAAATAATTATTGTTGATTTAATTATATTTGCTTAGTTCGAATTAGGACAATCAACTCACTATTGCAGATTCCTTAAATTTCGGTACTTAAAAATAATGAAAAATTTAAAAGTGTGTGGTGGTGCTCTTACACTTGACATATACTCCCAGTCACTATCTTGTAAACAGGTTTGAACAAAGAAGTGTATGTGAGACTTGGCTCGGCTTTAAATGTTTTGTAAGATGCACCACACACTTTTAATTTTTCATCAGTACATTTTTCATTATTTTTAAGTACTGAAAACTATTTTTGTCTTTTTAGTGCAATTTCTAAAATATGTTTTAGTTCAATTTAATATATATATTTATATTTTTTTTAAATATGGTTTTATAGGAAAGTGTGTTTTAAAAAAAATGTTTTCAAAATAAATAAGTTATTTGTTTGTATAATCTAGCAACAGGATAATAATAATTTTACGTATTTCTAATTTATTATACCTACAATAGCCAAATCAATGATAGATGTACAGTATAGATACTATAGCAAACTTCAAAGTAAGTCAGTCATCAAGTGTTTAATACTATATAGCTTGCTGGCTCCGTCGATATTTATTTTTGGTGACCCACTGCTTATAACATAGTCAAACACTATTAAAACAACCGAGTAAATTGTTAAAAAATTTCCTATTTGAACACAGTTTTATCATCATAAATATTTTCGTGTTATTATAAACCCACGACCGTGGGATATTATTAGACACTTTCAATTATTGAGCCCCGCAACTACACGCTGCTAAATATTATTATAATATACAATAGTTATGAGAGGAATATTACACGTATTAATGCCGACAAAATATAACTCTTTCGTCGCGCTTGCAAAATGGAAATATAATCATTTTAAACGTACCGGGTGGGGTGTGACTACATCAAAGATAATCCTCTGGTTCGCCCGGAGAAATAATACCAAAGACGTCGACGACGACGCCTTTAAAAGGTCTTATACGATATTATAATAATAATAATCATAGTAATAATAATATAATATTAGGAATACGCATATAATAATATATAATACGTATATTTCGTATATTGTATTAGGAATATAATAATATAACCGCGTAAAATATCTCCAAAATAATAACACTGCCCCCTATAATTTAATACGTTATAGCGAGTGTTGGCGGTCGAACGCGCGTGTCTCACGCTTGGTAAGATTACACGCGTGTATAGTTATGTTATGGCATATAGGTACTGTGTATGCGGTATGCGGTATATTATATATAATTGTTGTAGAAAAAAAAAGTAGGTCAGCATTTTGGTGGTGGATGTTTGTCTATCGCCCCTTCGGTCCTCGGACMAGATAGCGTAATTTTACTGTATTCAATTTGAATGCAATGATTGCATTCGATAAAAAACGATTCTGAGCGAACGAGGGAATCTTTTTTATCTAATTTTATTCGTTTCTATGGTGATAAACAAAGCGTATAAGAACAGCTAGGTTAGGTTAGGATCAGAATGACTTATATAAATAGGTAATTTAAATAAATATAATTAAAATTTATAATTAGGAAATATCATAAAAATGAAGAAAAAAAGAAAAAGCTCAATACTCGCTCAAATATTTTGAAAATTTTATCATATCCTGGTAARACTAATATAAATAAACAACCCAAATTTCAAGTTTTTACGAATGTTTTTAACCGAATTACAACAAAAAAACTCCCAAAATTAAAATGTCTATCAATAGCTCAACAATTGCTAAAATTTTCCGAAMTTTAAACTGTAAAGAACAAAATCCAAAATACAACTAAAAATATCTCTTGTTATTTTTCATTTGAAGCAATATTTCTGGTAGAAAACGTCGTCCGTAATTATTTAATATTATAAAATCGTGAAATCGTACTTTTTCTCCTTTAACYGCTTTTATTTCAAGTACCGTTTCGAAAATCAAAAAATAACGCCTTTAAAGTACCAGCTCGAGAACATTACCTTTCAGAAAAGATGCTACACTTGATACTTTTGAGCAAGTTTAGAGGGAGAAAAGGTGTTTACAGAATAAAAAAGAAAAAGAAATAAACATAATTGTAAAACCAATAAATTCCTCGCTCCGCTCAGAATATAAAATAACTARCAAATATATCATAAATAATCCTCTGAGAAAAGCTGTTGCGTGGTATGATAATAATAACGACAACAACAATAATAATATAATATGTAGGTATTTCAAGAGTTTGCGAATGAACGAGAAAAATAGGTAATAACAATTTACAGCGCCGTTATCAAAACGTAGGTACTTGTATTATAGTCGTGCGTGTTGTATTTCGTATTTTTGTTGGCAACGCTCGTGCGTGTGTGTTAGGTTCGCCATTATGTAATAATATACGAACTGGACTTGAATGGAATTCGGTTAAAGAAGCCGCAACAAATCAAAGCTCTAACGAAATCAGTCACTCGTCGTCGTAAAACCTACACACACACACACACACGCGCGCGCGCGCGCGCGCAATAATTAGCAAGTGCGTATAGTTAATACCCGGTCGTATACAATAATATTATAAAGTCAGCTGAGGCCTARTTCTAAAAACAAAACAAACATTTAAAATATAAGAAGATCATATTCGACTCACTCAACTCTGTATCTACGGTTGTAAGTTTCGTGTATACCTCAGGTTTGATAATGTCTATGATACGCATTACTATTAGCGTTCAATTTGAATTCAACAATCCTAAGTTTAGAYAACCAGTAATCAATTATGTCAACTTTTGAATTTAGATGCTTACAAAAAAATAATTCTAATGATAAATATTTTTAAATTGCTATAGAAATAACTATTATTACTTATATCTTATGAGAAACTAACTTGTATTACAATTCCAAGGCTTATTTTTTACAACCATTAAAATATGTATGAATTTTAATACATAAATTGATCATTATTAATTAGAATTAATGTTCGTTATTTTGACAAATTAAAAATATCAACTTTAAATACTCATAATATATCATTCTGTTTATACATTTTTTCAACTTCTTAATTTAAAAAAATAAAATATTTAAAACGTCAATTTAGTAAAGACGAAAAACATATTAATTTATTGCAATTATTTATAATTTAATTGTAAAACTTGTAATAGGTAATAATGAGATATAATATGATGACGCATATCTAATAAATTCATTTCTTTTTTTAAATGCCCATCAATACCCTTTAATTAGTCTAAATATTTTTT